GGGGAGGGGGAGGGGTGGAGGCCATTTTTAAACTTTTTGGCCGTTAGGAACGTCTATTTTTGCAATTGAAATCGTTGTCCAACGGCTAAAATTAAAAAAAAATAAAAAATTTACGCGGGACAGGCAGGACCGGACGGGACAAACGGGACGAAATGATCGTCCCGTTCCATTTCGTGTCCCGTTTAACATTGGCCCATCCCGTTTAAAATGAAGTGGGCTGGGCCGGGACGGCCCATCCTGTTGGACAGCCATGCCACTAACTGATCTTCTAGTAAAAGGGCTGACACCCAATCTAAATCACAGAACCGAAGTAGAGACTGTGAAGATTCCCTCTTCAGTAAAACACCAAGTCCAGATGCATTCTTAAAATACCTGGCAACCCTGGTAGTAGCATCCATGTGAGACCTCTTTGGAGCCTGCATGGATTGACCGCGACTTCGAACTGCATAACAAATTTCAGGTCGTGTGACTGTAAAATATAACAATTTCCCAATTATCTTTTGATAGCTAGTAACATCCACTAAGGGATCTAAATTCTGAAGCCTCACAACTTTGTCAAACTCTACAGAAGTCAGCCTCTGATTAATCTCAAGAGGTGTGATAGCAGACTTGGATGCACTAAGGCCCAATTTAGAAATGAGCTCAACGGTGTACTTCCTCTGATGGAGGAGAATGCCATGCTTGGATCTCATAACCTCAATTCCAAGAAAGTATCTTAATTTGCCTAAATCTTTCACTTTGAACTCCTGATGTAGAACAACCTTTGTCTCATCAATAAGAATCTTGCTACTACCAGTAAGAAGCCGATCATCAACATAGATTAGGATCACAACAATGTGACCATTGGACCTCTTAATGAACATGGAATAATCAATCGTATTTTGGCTGAACCCTGCCTTCAAGTAAGCTTTAAATTTCACTGTCTGGATGCCTGTTTGAGGCATACAGAGACTTCAACAATCTACACACCTTCTGCTCCCCCCGTCTTTGGAAACCTTGGGGTAGGGCCATGCACACTTATTTTGATAAGTCTCCCTGTAAGAATGCATTAAACACATCCATTTGTCATAAACCCCAATCTCTAGAGGCAGCTGAGACAATGACTGATCTCATAGTGATCATCTTAGTCACTTGAGAGAAAGTTTCTTTGTAGTCTAAACCTTCTTGTTTGTTATATCCCTTAGCCACTAATCGAGCTTTAAACCTCTCAACCTCTCCATTAGCCTTGTATTTGTTCTTGTAAACCCATTTATAACCAATAGAGTTCTTTCCTGGCGGTAAGTCTAGTACTTCTCATATTTTGTTTTCCTCCAAGGCATAAATTTCTTGTTGCATAGCTTCTATCCAGTTGGGATCCTGGGCTGTTTCTCTAAAAATTTGTGGTTCCCTAAGGATGGAAAATGCCAAGACATAGTCTTTGTACCGTTGTGTCACACCATCATATGATAGGTAGTTTGATATAGGATTCACACAATGTGAGGATTTAAGGCCCTTCACAATGTAATCTTGCATCTAAATTGGTGAATTCTTTGTCCTAGTGGACTGCCTGTGAGTTCAAAGTGATAGTGACTTTGTGAGATCATCCATGGATATATGCTCTGCTGATTCACTTGGCATGGGCAATGTAGTTGAGGTCTCTAATCTTGCAGTTGCTGCTACATCCTGAACTGTATCATCGGCATCACTGGTGGAAACTGGTTCTGCTGCTACTTCTTCTGGTGTTGCCTCCAAAGGAGGTGTTATATGTTCAGTATGCTCATCAGATTCTGGCAAGGAACCTCTCACAATTGGAGTAGGTGCTGCAATGAGGATGGTTAGGAAGTCTGTGCATTGTTCCATAGTTGAGATAGATTGGCTGATATGTTGTGGTTGCATGAGTGGGAATTCTGATTTCCTAAAAATGACATCCCTGCTAACAAAAAATATTTTAGTAGTAAGATCATATAACCTGTATCCTTTTTGAGTTGTAGATTATACCATGAGTACAACTTTTCTTGCTCTCGCTGCAAATTTATCTTCCTTTACTATATTTGTGGCAAAATACAAATAACCAAATACTCTCATGTGAACCAATGATGGTTCTTTCCCATACACCAACTCAAAAGGGCTCTTGCCTCCCAGAATCCTAGATGGCACCCTGTTAAGAATATACACAACATTTTTTACACATTCACCCCAAAACTTGTGAGGAATATGTGCCTGAAACTTTGATGCTCTAGCAATATCTAAAATATGCCTATGTTTTCTCTCCACAATTTCATTTATTGTGGAGTATAAACACAACTACTTTGATGAATCACACTATTACCCTGCAGAACTTTATTCCATTATTTATTAAAGAATTGTGAACCATTATCTGTTCTGAGTATCTTGACTGAGATATCAAATTGAGTTTTAACCATACAAAGGAACTATTTCAGAAAAACTATGGTTTCATTCTTCAATTGCATCAGAAAGACCCAAGTTTCCCTAGAGTAGTCATCTACTATAGTAAGAAAATAATGTTTCTTATCATGAGCAGCAACGTTGTTGGCCCCCAACACATCCATATGTACTAATTGGAGAAGTTTACCCCTTTTCTTTTTACTGTTCGGAAAGCATAGTCTAGACTGTTTAGCTAATGGGTAAACATGACACTTATTCTATATTGAAGTATCTATATTATGCTGAAGAAAAGAAATATGTTGCATCACAGGTGTAGAAACATGTCCTAACCTCTTGTGCCACAAATTGTTTGAGACGCCAGATTCCTTAACAACATTGGCATTGGCTATCAACTCCCTGATTCCTTTTCCTTTCAGCAAGTATAATCCATCATCTTCTTTATCAATCGCCTTCACTCTCCCATTGTAGAGGTCCTAAAATACACATATTTCACTTTCACGTAGGAAAATAACATGACATGATAAGTCTTTAGTTAACTTTGAGACTGACATCAAGTTGAACTTAAAACCAAGGACATAAAGCACATAGTTTAACTAAGTATCTTCTGATAACCAAGAACTACCAACCCGTGTGATATCTGTACTATCTCCATTAGGTAACTTCACTTTATCCTTCATGATTATGCACATTTTTCATTGTTGATACCCAATTTTTTCCTATAATATTTTTAAAGTACATATATACTTTCAAAGCTATGCATTAGCATTAATTGATATTTTTTTTTCCATAATTTCAATATTTTTAAATTAATTTTATCCTAGTATTTTATTTACATAAATAATTACAAATTGCATCATAAATGGCTTTATAGCATTTCATGACTTAATATTGCTATTTATAGTTATAGTAAGTTCAATTTATTTTACAAATGACGAGATTTACACCTTTTGATTACAATTGCACTAATTTTGCAATCATAGTTCATGTATACATCACTGTATTATTTTACCAGAATTAGGTCCATTATATTTTTAAAATATTGAATAATTATTTTAAAGAACTTCTATGCATAAAAATTATTTTTTCTTATTGATAATTATTTTATAAAATATTTTTTATCAATTATTTGGGTATTTAACAAATAGCCTTTTTAATTTCTCTAATTTTCGGACCTAACCCTTTAATACCAGCCCAAACCCCTTAATACCAGCCCAATTAACCCTAAGCTTAATATGCACCTACCCGACCTAAACCCCCATCAAATCGTGGTCGTTGATCCTTTAGATCAACGGTCCACATTAAAACTTACCTAATTAACCTAGAACGACCCCCCAAACCTCTCATTCACTCTTTCACACGCCATCCTTATCTCCCTGACATCTCCTATTCTCTCCCGATCTACCCCTAACCTTAATCGCCATCATCGGCGGAGAGCTCCTATCTATGGAGATTCTGAGTATTCTCCGACCATTACCAATCGTGTACGCTCCCCGATTGCTTGATTTCATGGATCCTTAGAAGAATCTCATGGAGATTCGACCTAGTTCTTGCCTGAAACTTGTTTAATGGCCTGTCTAGGGCCGTTCTCGTTTGTGAGTACAAATTTTCTCCTACTTTAGTTTGAATCTATGGGTTTTGACCGAGTTTCTTTATCTCCACTATTTTGAAAGCCCTAGTTTTGTAACTACTCGAATCCGTTCTGATCTTTGTAGATCTGAAACAGTTCGAGTATTTTCTGGTGTTTTCCTTTGAAAATCCTTTGTTTAGTTAACTGCTTTGATTTTATTCACTCTTTCTGAAATTAGGGTTCTTCCCAGACTTCTCTTCAAGAGGATTTTCTACTTTCAAATGTTTAATCTAGTCATCTCTTTACGTGTTTGGTTAATTTTCGTATGTGTGCTCGAACCCTAGATGTTTCTGATGGTAATACTGATTTCTTCTATTATGTTTATTTCTGTGAACTAGTCGTATTAACTGACTCTATTTAGGGATTTGAGTGATTTTCCTATTAAATCCAGTATTCTTTGGGATTTTGTTGCTTAATTGATTTCTATTTAGGGAATTTGAATAATTCTTTCCTAATTAAAATCACTATTTTCCGGAATTTTTACTTGTTTCCCTATTGTGACTAATTATACTTGCCTTAATTAGTTATCAGTAGTTTGGGGATTTGATGGGCTCCATATATGGTATGGTGTTGATTTATTACCTTATTTAAGTCCCAGTTCTGACCGTTAACTGTCTCTCCCCAATTAAAGGGCCCTTTTCCAGATTTCTCAATTGGAATTGATTCCATAATTGGTTGATTGCTTCTAATTGGTTGAACTGTGACTCTATTTACCTTATTTGTTTCACTCCCTAAAGTACAATATACACATTCTCATTCCGCCTCTTAAAACACAAACACACTGTTCAGAATACACACACATACATTCAAACTCTCTCTTCTTTCTTTGCTACTTGTGCTGACTATTGGTCTAGCCGGTTGAAAGCCAAGGCTAGATAGTGGAGTTGCACCTGTTTTTACATTTTGCATTTCTTTCTTTAACGGGTATGTCTCCAGTTAGATTTTGAAACTCAACTTTATGTGTTCTATGCCTATACATCTATGCTTGTTCCTGTATTAGTTATTCAATTTGTTTCTCTATTTGCTGTTATTAAGCATGTCTAAATTCTGCCATATGTGTAATCAGCATTATTGATACTCAATTTTTTCCTATATATTTTAATATGCAAAATACTTTCAAAATAGCATATGTATGCATATATAAGTATGTCCAATGTTTTATTATTTTCCTTAATTTTTAAAGATTTTTAAATCGATTTATTGCCCTATTTTATCCATAAAAACCCAAAAATTATTCCCAAAATTATCATTTTGGTGATTCATTTATTTGATTCTCATTTTTATTCTAAAATATAGGTAATATAATTTTTGCATATTTTTACAAAGTCATTTAGTATTTTTAAATTTAAATTGTATATAATTACAACATTAGCCTCTTTTAAGATTAATTACGTTTATATTTATAAAAATTAGGTCTGGTATTTTTATATAGTTAATTATGTTCTATAAATAATTTTAGTACCTTTAATTTATTTTTAGAAATTAATTTATTATTTTTATAAATTAAATAGAAAAAATGGCTATTTAAATGTTAGCCCATTTTATTTCGATTATAGCCCAATTCTGACCCCAATTGAAACAATTTGAACCCCGACCCAATTCCAATTTAATCCGACCCAAACCCATCTTCATAACTCGCCCACTCGCCCATTTTGATCCAGGCCGTTGATCATTCAGATCAACGACCAACAACCATCCTTGCCTTTTTTAATTAAAACGACCCCTAACTCTAGCATCATTTCCAAATTCCGCCGCCTCTGAATCCCCTTCTCTCTCAACTCTCTCTCAAATCCTCTCAAACCCTAGCCGCTGCCATCAACTACAACCCCAATACCTCCCCAAATCTATGGTTCCCAAAGTCATCGGAGACATATATCCACCTCCCATGGCTTCTACGTGCTCGACTATTATGGTCTCGAGGTTAGATCTCAA